TGGGGGTGGCCCTGCCTGGGTACATAGAGCAGGTGGCCAAAGCAGGAGGGGACAGATGGCATGGGCTGGAAGGAGAGGCTTGTGTCTCCCTAGGGCTGTGTCAGAAGGCTCTCCCCTTCCCCATCCTCTCTCCACACCAGGGGAGAGGTTGCGGTCAGAGCCTGCCCTGACAGATGGCATTTGCAAAGGAAGGGGGCCAGGAGGGAACAGTGTCCCTAGTCTGCAAACCTCTCACGAAAGAAAACTGTTTTGTCCCTTAGGCCCCTCCCTAACCCCAGATGGCAGGGCCAGCCAGGAGGAAGAAACACAAGGAAAGGGGACAGTAGCCCCTTCCCATCTGAAATTCACTGCCTAGGGACAGAACCTTTGTAGAAGCCTGACCCCTGAGACCTTGGACCCCAGACAAAGCAGCAGGCCTTTCAACTTGAGCCAGGCCCTTCCGTGACACATGCTAATCAGACCCAAGAGAGCCTGGCTCTGCATACTGCCTTGGGCTTGCAGTGCAGAAGGGCACAGGCCTGAGGACACCTCAGCCCCCTGGCCCAGACTCCCCTGCACTGTCCTGCCTGGACACTGCCCCTTAGGGCCTGCCTCCAGCCCAGACTCCTCCCTATTAGTCTCCAGCACAGGCAGGCTCTAGTTCACCATCTGCTCCCGGCCCTAAACCTCCCATTGTCCTCTGCAGCTCCTCCCTGCCTCTCCTTCACACTTCAACAGTTGGCAGTGAAGTCCCTAACACTTTTAGGAGCTCAGTGGGTCCTCACAGCATGAATAACACTGTGCTCCCTTACCTTCCCGTCTTCTTCATTGTCCCAACCTCCTGTGCCCCATGCACGGGTCTAGCCTGCTCCTCCCTGCCTATAATGCAGCCCAGCACATGGTGGGCACTCCACAAATAGCCGTAAGGGAAGCAACGGGCTGCAGAGGAGGCAGGAGCCAAACACCCATGCCTAATGCCAGAGAGGCAGATATCTCCACTGAGAAGGCAGCGGCATGAGAGGCAGACACCCCACCTGCTCCCTCAACAAACGCGTGTGCTCCTGCTCTGCTGGGCTGAGCTGCGACTGTCACCCTTAGCTGTCCTGCCCCAAATGTCCATATTCGCACCCAAGGCAGGAAGGGTTCCCCGGGCCAGGAGAACCCTGTGAGGCCTGGAGGAGAGGATCATTCTGAGGAGCCTGACCAGTGGGAGGGGGTCAGGGTAGGGATCTGCCCTGAGCAATGATTTCTCCCTTTTCTGAGCAAAAGCAGAACAGCGGGTGGGGGGAAGGGCTCTTTCAAATCCTGTGACGTGGTGTGAAGACAGTTTAAGGTTGCCCCTCTGACCTCATCTCCCTGTGAGGGTTGGAACAGGCTCCGCCCACAGGTCGCACTGTGTCAAGTTCACCACTGCAGCTGGAGCAAACCCCTTGTCAACTAGAACAAGAACTGTCGCTTGAGGGACAATGGGAGGTGAGTTGTGTTGGTTGCTATTCAGTACAATGGTGTCAAAGCTGCGGGCAAAGGTGTCCGATCAAAGCTCTAACTCACAGAAAGAGCTCCAGGAGGAGACAACACAGGCCTGGCAGGTGCTGATGGATGTGCGCTTCTCAACATTACTGGTGTCCTGTGGGCCTGAAAGGATCCTAATACAACCTAACCATGTTGATTGAAAGACAGACATCTTGGCTGGTTCTGGGTAACGACTAGACTCAATAGGAAAAGACAAGAGGAGACTGAGAAAGGTAGGAAGAAGTTTCTGCATAAACACACCAGCCCTGTCTCCAGGATGCCGCAGCCCTGGGCTTCCCTCCCTGCCTGTGGCCTTTTCCCCTGGGACCCCTGAATCTCCATCCTGGAGGTGGCATTTGGTGCTCTGAGGGGCTCAATCCAAATCATCCCCTCACATATATCAAACTGAGCTAGAAAAAGGCTCCAGCTCGGCTGTTCCCAGGCCCTGGAGACAAAGCGGCACTGCACTGCGTGAGCTGGGGAAGAGCTTCAGGGCACAGCTTTGCTCCCCATTTGAGGGGGCCCAGGCTGTCACGTCTGTCCTCCTTTGACTGGCAGAGACTCTGAGGTCCAGGCTGTCCCCGAGCCTCCCTGCTTCCCTTCTCACCAACTGGCTGTTCTATGTTCTCACACAGGGCAAAGGGAAGACAGCCAGGATGCAGACAGATAGTGAGGCAGCGCACAGGCAGGTGTAGGGGACAGGCTCCGGTCCAAGGCCTTGGATGGCTATGGTACCAGCAAGCTAGGCTTCAGCTCCTTAGCTGTGTTCCTCTGCCCTGCTCAGATAGGAGCCAAATTACCCTCACCTCTTTCCTCTCCTTTACCCCCCAAGTCCAATCTTTAAACATCTGCGAGCCTAGCCTCTAATGGCCGAGCCATCTCTCCAGCCCCTTTAAACATCTGTTATGTTCCTTCTGGTGCTGTAGAATCAGGGTGTGAGTGTTTGATTGCACCTCAGAGAGAACCCAGAGCCAAACCCATTCCAGAGAAGAGCTCTGCCCCTGAGCTGGACTCCTCATCCATGCTTTTGTGTTTTCTGGAGATACATGTAGCACTGGCTGGCCTTGAAGTAGAGATCCTCCACCTTTAAGCTATGGCAACAAGCTTGCACTACCACATCTGATACTGTTATCTGTCAGCCATGAGCCAGGTACTAGGGCCTCAGCTGTGAGTAGAACAAACATGGCCCCTTGTCTCCCCAACACTAGTGGGGAGACAGACCCCAAACAAGATGCATGAACGAACATATAATACACTGTAAACGGCACAGTGCAAAATTCCAGAGCACCCCAACCAGATAGGCACTTCTGGAGGCAAGAGTGAGCAGAGAAGCCAGGTGGGAGAAGGGTGGGGGTGGGGTTGCAGATGCCTTTAATCCTACTCGGAAGACAGAGGCGCCTTACCTGGAGGTGTAAGGGGGTTGAACAGAAACCCCAGTATACTGAGGAAAGAGCTATGCAGTTGCCTCGGAAAAGGGAACAAAGAATGCAAAGGTCCGGAGGCAGGAAGTAAGTCTGTCACAGGGTGCAAACCGCAAGGAAGCCATTAGGAGTTAGCAGGGAGGACAGCAAAGCCATCAGCCCCTGAGGACAGGTGAGCAGGAGGCTGGCTACCCGACAAGGTAGTGAGGCACTGTGCGGAGAAAGGACAGACAGAACAGCACCGCTGTGGCTGAGTATCAAGAGAGGGTAGGACCATGAACCAAGACAGAGCCATGTTCAGATGGGCCATGAAGGAGGCTGCGTGAGGAATCCTGGGCCCCACGGGATCTCTGGAGGGGTCAGTCGGACGGACGCAGTCCACAGGGAAGATCATAGGTCCAATTGGTGGCCTGTGTTCCATGCTGACCTTCCCTGCCGGGAATGCAATGAAATTCCGAGGAAGACAACACCGACCCCAGGACTCCTCTCCCAGCCCAGGGCCCTTTTCACAAATCCCTCAGACGCCGCCACCTGGTGGTAACTTCTTGAAACTTCAAGCATTCAAATCCCCCGCGCTAGCACCAGGGTGAGGCTTGCCCTTGATCTCTCACTCCGCCCCCCACCCCCCACTCCGGCCTCATCCACGCTGAACAGTTTCACCTGCTCACACCCTCCCGTGGCGCGGGCATGCTCAGCCTCAGCTCCACGGCCCTTTCACTGCCGATTCCAGCCTTTTACTGGGCTGCAGAGCAGTGTTCATTCCGGCCTCCACACCGGGGTGGGGGGCGGCTCTCTGCCCCATCCCGTTCCTCAGGCTTGGTTGGAGGGTATGTAACCCCTTATCTATATTCTGTGTGTATGGATTCTCTCCACCTCCAAACCCCGGCATGCCTAAACCAGGTGTGTCCAACTCTTTCACACTGAGACACGATACTGTCATCAGCAAAGTTCATGCTACAGATCCGTGCAATAGACTGAACAAAAAATTAAAATCTCATAATGTAAATAAGTTTGCAGTTTTGTGTGGGCCCTATCAATAGCCACGTTCGCCACATTTAGCTCCGGGGCTGCAGAGCAGGCATACCTGCTGATTGTCAGTAGTTTTCACACAAGAACAGAGGACCTGTCCCTCACCTCCCTTGACCCATGTTGAGACCTTTATTGGTGGAGCATAAGTTAGCATTGGATTTTTTGTTAATTATTCTTCACTTTCTCCTTTTTAAAGTGTGTTATAATTTTAGGTTAAACGATCAACAGGCTTACAGATGCACAGATGGTTAAAATTTATCAGTGAAGGATAAAGCTCCCTTTGGTGTCTCTTTCCTCGCCGATCCTGTGCCTTTGCACACACAGACACCCCCTCCACAGCCAACGCTTGCAGATTGTTTCTTATGGGTCTCAAGTACTTAAATTTCACACGTACAACATAAGGAATCTGTGGGACAGCCGGGCATCGGTGGCATATGCCTTTAATCCCAGCGCTCAGGAGGCAGGAGCAGGTGGATCTCTGGGAGTTCGAGACCAGCCTGGTCTGCAAAGAGAGTCCAGGACATCCAGGTCTATTACACAGAGAAACCCTGTATCAAGAAACAAACAAAAAAAAAAATTGTGGGACTCATTCGTGGGGATGCTTTTAAAATTAATAAATTTACGTAGTGTGTTTTCATTCCCCGCACCCCACCCCCAGCGCTCACGCTCGCGCCCGCGCCGTTCTGGGCTCTTGAGCTTTATTCTTCGATGTGAAGTCAGCTGCTTTTGATGGGGCCTGCGGGGTGCGGCCGTCCCGCAAAGGGAGCAAATGAGTCCTTGGCTGGTCTGGAGGTCCCTCTAGAGTCCTTCTCTACCCCTGCTCTCTCGTGGCACTTTGCCACCCCCGCATTTCGACCCCCGCCCCCTGTCTTCTTCTCACTCCAGCTTTAAGGCCCCACCTAGCGCACCCGGCGGGGGCAGGGGTAGCTGTGAAATTCTAAAGATGCAGGCTCCCGCGCCCCCCGGCGGCTTCTCGGCCGAACTGCAGCGGCGCCTCCGCTCCTGACCTTCCTACCCGAGGGTGCGGTCAGGAAGCTGCGCCCGGTGGTGCGACGAGAACCTTTTCGTGCGGGACAGGCTGGTCTCTGCTTCTGAGGCTCCTCAAGGAACCTGAGCGCCACCTCCAGTTGCCCGGAGCGCTACGCATTTGCAGGTACCAGTTAGGAATGAGCTGTTCTTTTGTATTTCTTAACGAACCGGGGTCTTTTCTACTACATTTATTTGGAGACGTGGGACGGGGGGAGGGGGGGGGGGGGGGCGCGACCGCCGGGGTGGAGCGGGGGCGGTGGGGGCGGGGGGGGGGGGGGGGGGGGGGGGCGGGCCCGGCGGCGGGGGGGGCGGGCGGGGGGGGGGGGGCGGGGTCAGAGGGCAACTCGGCAATCTGTTCTCTCCTTCCATCATGTGGCCCCGGGTGATCGAAATCACGTAGACAGACAGACAGACAGACAGGCAAGCTACCGGATGAGCCATCTTGACGGCCCTTTAGTTTTGTTTTCAGACAGCAATAGCAGGGTCTTGCTCTGCAGTCCACGCTGGCCTTGAACTCGCGATTCTGCTTCAACTTCCCGAGAGCTAGAATCACAGCCCTGTGTGACCGCTCCAAACTTTCCAGTCGCGATTTGTCAAATAACTGAGCACCTGCAGTGGGCGGAGCTAAACTGACCCGGCGAAAAGGAATCTCAAGCGACCGGAGAGGACAAACAGAGCTTTCAGTGCAGACAGGAGCACTTTCGCATCCTGGCAGGCCCAAGGCTGCAGTCCTCTCCAGAAGACGCCCCGCCCCGGCTCCCCGCCCACCCAACTTGTCCCTGACAGACCCGGAGCAAGCTGCTGGCTCATTCATCTCTACTAGAAAGTCGTTTGCCAAGGGCCAGACTTTGAACCCTGCTCACCTGTACACCCTAATCCCTTTCCGCGGTGCTAGGCTTACAGCTGGAGTTTAACTGGAGTTTCTGAATTAACTGGAGTTGATAGCGAAGCCCCCAAAGGAAGGCATCAATGTCTTTTTTTTTTTTTTTTTTTTTTTTTTTTTTTTTTTTTTTTTTGAGACAGGGTTTTTTATGTAGCCCTGGCTGTTTTAGATTTGTAGCTTAGGCTGGCCTGGAACTCAGAGAGAAGACTGCCTCTGCCTCCTGAGTGCTTGAGATTAAAGGTGTACACCACGATGCCTGGCGTAAGAGGTCTCTGACATTAGGAGTTGTTGGGGCTGTAGCCCAGTTGGCAAAGCAAAGCGCTGGGTAGGATTCCCAATCCTGCATAAAACCAGGAGTGGTGATCCTAGCCTTTGGGAGATAGAGGCAAAAGCACTGGAAGTTCAAGGCCATCTCTGGGCAGATATGGATTTTGAGGCCAGCCCGGGGTATATGTTTATTTCAAAAACAAACAAACTGTGAGCTATGCCCCCTGATCCCACCCCAGCCTGTGCAAACAAACTTTAAACTTTCTGTAAATTTTAAATTGCTCAAAGGATCTGGGGGCATGGCTCAGTGGTAAAGTACCTACCTAAACCCTGGGTCCATCCCCCATCACCAAAAATGCAGGGCGTAGGCAGGGAGGAAAATCTTTGGAAAGTAAAGGATCGTAAATAAACAGCAAAAGCTATAAACTTACAGATTACAGAGTCAGGGAGGGCCCACGAGCTGGGCGCACTCACGCATGCAGTGTGAACCATGAGCTTTGTCCAAACCCTCGAAGCCATGGAGGTGTCCTGTTACAGACAAGACGGAAGAGTTCCTCGGTGGAGGTAGCACTTGACGTTCGTGCTTGGAAATAACACTGGATCCCATCAGGAAGTGGTGGGCAGAAAGGGCATTCCACTGAAGAATCAGGGGTGGCCGAAAGGTACCAATATGCACTTCCAAAAGTAGCCAGGGCAACTGGTGGGAGAGAGCCATAAGGTGCTGAAGCTTACTGGTCCCCGTTGGGAAAGGACTTACTTGGGAGGATCAGGTCAGCAGCAGGCTGTCTCCAAGGTTGAGGACTGTTAATTAAATTAACATCGCCACATAGAGCACCTGTGAGAGGCTGGCCACTGGCTAGACCACAGCAGGGAGGGGAGCAGGATGGAGGGAGTCCCTGCAAAATGGAGGAGAGTCAGGAATGGGAGCCAGCCCCGTGTGCTTTCCAGGGAGTAGTGGCAGCCAGGTCATGAGGGAGGCATCGCACGTGTATCTTGTCCTAGAGATAAAGTGTCCTGGTGATAAGACAGCTCTTGATACACTGTGACTCTCTTAGACCTCACAGGTAGATGTGGATTCAAAGATCAGCACCCCAGGCTGTTGCAGGCCTGAGAAGGACCAGCTCAAACTGTACCAAAGATCTAAAGATGCCTGTTTCCCGCAGGGCGGGGGGAAGGGACGGGAGACCTGCTGCTATCTAATAGGTACACTTTGAGTAGTGTTTTCCGAGCCCCATAGCACACTGCCTGCTGAGTAAGGGAGGGGAACCCCCAGGTCTCCCTAACAGTGGGGATCCCAGACCTGAGAGTAGCACGCAGTTCAGAAAGACTTGAATTATTCACTGGAGGCCTCAGAGGTCTAAAACCTGCTTGACACATTTTTTTTTTTTTTTTTACTCCAGTGTGAGCACTCCTGTGCTTCTGGCCCAGGACTCCAGTCCTAGCCCATCGATTCCAGTTACACCTTCCTTGGTACCAGCATATTTCTTCCAGAGTCTCAGTTTTCCCATCTATGAAGTGGGGCAGAAAAGCATCCCCTGGCCCTGGCCAGACACCAGAGGCTTGAGAGTCACCCAGAGTTGTGTGTCTCCACTCAAGACCTCATTTCTCTGGACCTCACTTTCCCCCTCTGTACAGCAGAGCTTCTGCAGTAAGCTCCCAAAAGCAGGAGTGAGGAGTAATGGCTAACTTAGGTCCTACCGCAGAAGCCTCTACCCAACTCCTGGCTTGTTCCCGCGGAAGGAGAAGGCGGGATGAGAAAGCTCAGGTCCTGGGGCTGCAGGCAGTGGCTCCGGAGTCTGCCGCGGCCATCCCGGGGTCCCGCCCACCTTCCCGCCATCGGGGCGGAGACAGACAGGTGCCGCAGTAGACTCCTGGAGCCACGGCGCAGGCGGACCCTCCTTGACCCTCGGTGAGTGGGAGTGGAGCACGGCTGGGGGGCGTCCCTCTGGGGACAGCGGGTGGCCTGTGACCTTTCCCCTAGTTCCCTCCACGAGGGCGGCAGGGAACAGGCGGAACAGCTGCGGACTCTGAGCCGCCCTTGCGCTCCCAGCCCCGGCCTTGGCCACGGATGCTTCTCGGAACCTGCCACCTGACCCGGGCACACAAGGTCCCACCTGCCCGCGCGTGGCTCCCCTCTAAAGTTCAGCTGGTGTGGGAGGCCGGATCCCTTCCTGGCCCGCAGGGAAGCGAGAAGGAAGGGAGCCTGGAGACCTCCTACCTCCCTGAGACCTGGGCCACCACACCAAGACACATCCAGGCCCTTTCGCAGATGGGACCCTCCCAGGAGGTTCAAAGAAGGGCGGCAAGTGACCTGAGTTCATACCGCCAGGGAGCACAGGCCCGGATGGCACCCAGCCCTGAGACCAGGATGGGCATGGTGCCACTAGCACTACCTGCTTTCTGGGCGTGTGGTTGCCCAAACAAGTCTTTGCAAAGGGAACTTGAATTGACATGAGTTAGGGAGTTACGGGCTATAGGTGAAAATTCCAGCCCCACTTGGAAGTGAGAAGGCTCAGGCCCCTGGCCACCCAGTAGCTTTCCCCTGAACCTCCAGCTCCTCTTGATCACTTCCTCCGCCTCAGCTTCTCCTATGCCCTCTATTCCTGCCTCTTTCCTTCTGTCGGCTTCCAGGTGTAACTGCTGGTTCTCTGGGCCCCAGTGCCCTGACCACCATCCATCAATCACTCTCCACATCTCACCAGGCCCTGTTCAGAACCCCTGCTGTGCCTATCCAAAGCCAGGCAGGTCCTACCCAATCCCCAGGACCACCTGCAGGCCAGGGCTGGTTCTCTCCAGTCTGGGCCCCCTCCGCTCAGTGCTCACCAGCTGCCAGCCTATCTATGCAGAGTGAGCACCCAAGCATGGCGTCAGGGTGTAGGGTGGCCCGGTCCCTTGCAAACCAGATGCTGCCTCCACATAGAAGATAATTCCCTCCACCCCCACCCCATACACACACATACATAACCCGGTTCCCGTGGGAGAATTCTGTGCCAGCTGATAGGCACCGATAGGCTCCTCGGCTGGCCAGCCTCTGAAGATCCTGAGATGTGAAGCTTTGCCCAGAAGCCAGGAAGCTGTTACAGTCCAGGACCAAGGTCAGGCCACGCAGGGGAGGAGGTAGCCCAAGTGCAAGACAGTGGGGGTGTGGGGTTGCTGACACCCAGTGTTTGATGTGAAAGTAACAAAGAGGGCGGGTTCTCTTTTCAAAGAGAGCTCCTCGTAGCAGCTGACCCAAAGTAACAAAAAGTATGGGAGTGGAGCATACCACAACCGGTGGTGTGACCTCTGGCCTCTTCTTTTTTCTTCTGTGAAATAAGGGTGAACCCAGGACCTCGGAGAGGCTGCAGAAGATGGCAGAGGGGGTTGGTACAGGTGGATCACAGGCAGCCATGGCAGCTCAGTGTCTTGTCAGGAGCCACGTGCAATGGCTGTGCCCTGCTTCATTTGTGGCTCCCTGTAGCTCTGCTCCCCACAGCCAGCCAGCCAAGACCGGTCTTCCTCCACCTACGGGGGTCACTGAGGACACATCCACGCTGTCCCCTCTGCTTCTCTGTTTACCTTAATGGTTTTTTTGGGTCTCCCCACACACACAGGGTTTTTTTCTGTGTAGCCCCGGCTGTAGACCAGGCTGGCCTTGAACTCACAGCAATCTGCTTTGCCTCTGCTGGGATTAAAGATGTGCACCACCATGCCCTGGCTGCTGCCCTCAGTCTTATAGCTGCAGCCACACTAGCCCTAAGGCTGGGTTTTCAACATGGAGATGGCCTTGCCCTGCCTGACTAGCTTCACCCTGTACCCTCTTTTCCCAGACTCCTCTCACACCCATACTCCCACCTCCCAACTCCAGTGGCAGATTTACTCACATTCTTGAGAGTAGAGACTATTGTTTGCCTAGGTGTAGGCACCCAATAAAGGCAGGCTACATACGTGAGCGAACAAGAGCCACAAGGTCACTGAAGACAGGGCAGAAAATTCAGATACTGAACCATGCCTTATGGCCCAGACCTATAGTCCTAGCTTCTAGGGAGGCTGAGGCAGGGGGATTCCTGTCTGGGAATGAGATCACAGCCAGCCTGGGCAACTCAGTGAGACACAGTCTCAAAATTAAAAGTAAAAGTAAGAAGGCTGTGTTTAGCTCTGTGATAGAATTCTTGCCTGGGGTATATGTGTCCCTGAGTTCAATACCTGGGTGCAGGGGTAGAGAGGCTATATTTGAGCTATGCCCCATCTCATGTTTTAACCATGTCCCCACCACACTAGGGACATTCACTGCTCTGAGAGAAGCAGTCTGACTCCTGTCTATGTTGTTCCCTCTGCCTGGAACATCCCTGTCAGCCGTCAGTACTGGCTGTTCCCCACAGGGTCTCCTGACCTAGAAAAGTGAGTAGGATAGAAGTGGGGATCTGGGGTGTAGACCCTGATGGAACCCCACTTATCTCTCCTCTCGCATGACAGCTCTGGGTAAGAAATTGCCTGCTTTAATTACTGACTGGTTCCCTCTGTTCCCTTTATCATTTGCTGTGTCAGAAAGAGTCAGCAGAGCAGTAACTGGCATGGCTCTGTGTCCTCTTGCCCCCCCCCCCCAGGGGCACCGGCCCAGCAAGGGCACTGGGAAGGCTTCCTGGTGCAGGATCTTGCAGGAATCTGGGTGGAGAAGAAGCTGCAGGCCAGTACGACTTTAAGGTGGGGCAGGAGAGCAGGCACAGCTTGGAAGGTGCCTGTCTCCAGGTCCTCTAGCAAACCTGGGGCCAGGCCAGGCAAGCCCTAGGTGACTACAGGATAGCATCTTCACAGTGAAGGCCGAGGTCTGGTTGCCTCTCCTCCTATCTCTCAAATAGTTTCCTGTTCCTAGGTCAGATTCCTGTGTAAGGACCAGGGAAAGGGGTAGACAAAGCATCAAAGATTCCTGATTGCAACTCGGGAGCAAGAAAGCTCTAGAACTACTAGAATAAAAGAGAGATTCACAAGTGTGGTGACACTCAGGCAAAAGGAGAAAGAGCTAGAGTTCTAGCATGAACTAGATAGTCAGATTTTAGGATGTATTTATTTTATGTATGAGTGCTCTATCTGCATGTGGGAAGAGGGCATCGGATCACATTATAGATGGTTGTGAGCCACCATGTGATTGCTAGGAATTGAACTCTGGATGTCTTAGCTGCTGAGCCATCAACTCTCCAGCCCCCAAATAGATTTTTGTCTCAAAGCCAAAAAAGAAAAAAAAGAAAAAGAAGACTGTAGAGGAATTTTAATTCAGAACATAGCTGTTCTGGCAAGAGATCACATCCAAAGACCTTCTAAGTCTATGTGACCTGGCTGGCAAGAGATCACATCCAAAGATCTTCTAGGTCTGTCTGTGTGATCCGGCTGGAATACAAACATGCCTTTAATCCAGGAGGCAGGCAAGCAGATCTCTCAGTTCAAGGCCAGCCTGGTAAAGAGCTAGCGTCAGGTAAAGAAAAGCTTCGGTGTGGTGGTACACGCCTTTGATCCCAAACAATGAAGGTAAAATCAGTTTGTAGAAGGAAACACCGAGTTTGAAAGCATTGTTTAATTGAGTGGCAGAAAAAGAGACAAATCAGAGAAAAGTTTGACAGAGCAGGATACGCCCAACTCTCACGAGAAAAGAGAAGAAAGGGAAGCTACTTAAGGGGCAATGCAGAGCAAGAAGGAGCTTTTCCAGGACCTGTCGTAGAGAGGCTGCTTATAGAGAGAGAACTCAGGTGAAGGCAGAAGGAGCCAGAAGATTAGAAAAAATTGCTGGAGTTAGTTTGAGGCCAAGCAGACCAAGTCAAGGGAAAAGAGAAAAGCCAGTTTGAATAAGTCATCTGGGAGAGGAGTTCAAGCCAGAACAGCTGAGTTGAAATAGACAGCCCAGAGCTCAGTAAGAACAAGAAAGGGTGAGTAGACTAAGCCCCAACTCTCAGGCTGAAACCATTCTAGGCCCGTGTTAGAGTGTATGGAGGCTTGTGAGTACCCAATTGGGTGAGCGCTGGCCTGGTTCCAGATCAAGAGCATATGGTGTGGGGAAAGGGGTCCCCTTCCTCTTTGCAAGGAGGAGCCAGCTGGGTGGTGATGCCGCTCTCACAAAGACACATGCCACTTGCCAGCTGGGTGGCCTTGGGTATGTGACTGCTTTTCTGGGCCTCTTCTTCCTCACCTGCTCATCAAGGACACTAGTGTGGGATGGGGTGAATTTCTTTGGCTATGATTATCAAAAAAAAAAAAAGTCACATCTGCTGACTTTTCCAACTCTTGAAAATTAACACACGACCATAGAAATAGCACCCTGGAATCATTTTCTCATCCATCCAGAAGAGAGATGGTAACCTGTTCATGGGGTCAAAGACCTATGTATGTGTTTTTCTTTTAAACTATATATATCCGTGGCAAATTTCTTACTTGAGTTTTTAGTTCTTGGTTTGTAAAAACTCTTTATATATTGAAGAAACAAGCCTTTTGTCTATTTTGCCCATATCTCTCCCAGGTTGTCACTTGTCTTTTGACCTTGCTGTTGGTTTTGTTTGTCTGTTTGCATTTATTGCATTTGTGAGTTTTAACATTTCTGAAGTTGAAAAGGTCAATTTTTTCTTTTGTAGTGCTGGGAATTCTGATTCCTGCTTAGTTGGAAGGAAAACCTTGCCCAGTTGAAAGTTATCTGTCAACAAATGCATCTATGTTTTCTGCTGATACAAGCCAGCTCGATGACAATGAACTTGAACTCTCTCTCCAGGTGTCCTTCTTCAGCAGCTCCGCTGCAGCCTGACCTGGAGGACGGGACAGTGTCTGGCTCAGGCTGCCCGAAATGGCCCTTCTGACACACCTGCTGGTCTGCGTCTTTGGCATGGGCTCCTGGGTGGCCATCAACGGGCTCTGGGTGGAGCTGCCCCTGCTGGTGACTGAGTTGCCTGAGGGCTGGTACCTGCCCTCCTACCTCACCGTGGTCATCCAGCTGGCCAACATAGGCCCTCTCCTAGTCACCCTGTCACACCGCTTCCGACCCGGCTGCCTGTCAGAAGTGCCTGTGATCTTCCTTATCCTGTGCATCGGCACCGCTGCCTGCGTCCTCTTAGCCTTCCTGTGGAACAAGACATCCTGGATCCAGGGTGGACGCCACAGTGTGGCCTTCATCATCCTCACCTTCTTCCTGGCCCTGGTGGACTGCACCTCCTCTGTCACTTTCTTGCCCTTCATGAGCCAGCTGCCCACCTACTATCTCACCACCTTCTTTATAGGCGAGGGGCTCAGTGGCCTCCTGCCTGCTCTGGTGGCCCTTGTCCAAGGCTCGGGTATCACCACCTGTGTCAACACCACGGAGACAGCAGGCACCACCCTGAGCCCTGTGACCACTGTGGAGACCAACATCACCCAGGTACCTAGTGTGACCCAGAGCCATGGTTGCGCTGAGTGGTCCCCAGTAGAGGGAAGGGAAATTTTGCTTTCTCTGTCTCCATTGTTCCTTTGACAGAACTGTGCATTGTTTCATTTATTTTATTATGTATATTCTGACATGTGCGTAGGGCCACATGCCACAGTGCAAGTGTGGAAGTCAGAGGACACTGTTCTCTGTAGAGTCGTCTCTCTCTTCCCTCCTTTATAAGAGCTCTAGGGATGGAACTCCAGTTGTCAGCTTTGCATGGTAAGTGGCTTCACCTGCTGAGCCATCTGGTCAGCTAAGGGCCACAGATTAAAGTGTGTGAGGTGAGTGGACGATAGAAAGACCATTGACGCTGGAGTGTGCACGTGTTGGGGGTCTCACAAAAGTTTGAGATTCAAAGATGGGCCAGGTGACGGGGACAGCAGAGAGGGGCTTGGGGCTCATGGGGTGTGAGATGTGTTCTGGGAGTGGAGAAGAGACAAAGGAATCCTTCATAAACTCAGGCAGAACCTGACAAAGGTTGCAGATCTCAGCCCTGAAAAGGCCCACATTCCTCCCCAATGGACCTTGGGGAGCTATGGCTCTGTCCCAACTCAACCAGTTTGGAGTAATCGGAACTAAAGAAGCCTGTCTTAGAGTGATGTATCCTGGCTTTTTAGTTAGATTAGGGGGTTATCCTGGCAGCCCCCAAACAAAATCAGAAAGACTGGGAAATGAGTATCTAAGGACAAGCCCAGACATCTCCGCATCCCCCATGTGGCTGACTGCAGCTTTGTTCCTCTGCAGAGAACCCACACTCCTTCCCTGTCACCCTTCACCTGGCACCTGGAGAGTCGCTACTTGGCCCCACGCTTCTCACCGCTGCTCTTCTTCCTGCTGCTCTCATTCCTCATGGCCTGCTGCCTGGCCGCCTTCTTCCTCCTCCAGCGGCAGCCCTGGGGACGACAAGGCTCCATAGAGGACCTCCTCCACTCCCAGGTCACCCTGCACTCTATCAAGCCACGAAACACAGAGGACACCAGCTCACTGGGCACTCCTGTGGGCAGCTCGGCCAAGGGGTCAGTGGAAGTCGGTGTAGCCTCTCTTCGCCCAGCCCAGCTGGCCTTCGTCTACTCCGTGGTGGCCTTTGTCAACGCGCTCACCAACGGTGTGCTGCCCTCGGTACAGACCTACTCCTGCCTGCCCTACGGGCCTGTCGCCTACCACCTGTCTGCCACCCTCAGCGCCGTGGCCAGCCCCCTCACCTGCTTCCTCCCCATCTTCCTGCCTAACAGGTACCTCATCTGAACCAGGGAACTCAAGTGGGGATCACTCCATTTCAGAACCCCAAGGGCCAAGCCTTACCTACTGGCCACTATGTGAGGTGTTGGGTAATATGACCTCAGGAGGCATGGGGCAGCACAGGTTGCTTTGCCTCTGTGCCTCCAGGGTACCTATCTGAAAAACATGGGGTGACAGTACTCCCTCTTTTGCTCTCTGGGAATGTGGTATGGGTTATTCTCTATCAGCACCTGACACTTCCAATATTTCACCAGAAGGGCCACCAGTTCATAAAGAGTAACAGTCAGCTACTGAGATAGACACATAGAACCCTGAGACCTAGAAAGAGTTGGAGCCAGGCTTGTATGGCCTTGCCCTCCTGCCTCTGGCCCAGCCAGCCCCGTCATGTCGCACTTCTAAGATATCTAGGCAAGAGTGCAATTCAGGCTACCAGAGTGGGCTGGGCCTTGGCTCAGAAGCATAGGACTTCTGGATCTCCTCTGGGGAAAAACATCCACCTTGGAACCTCAAAGCTTGGGGGCCCTGGCCTGGCTGCCTCCCCTGCCCTCTAAGCCATTCAAATTTGCTGCAAGTACAGATCCAGCTAGGACCAAGAACAGGAGCAGGAGAGTAAGCTAGGAGAGTCCACCAATGGTCCCTAAGGCTTCAAATTTGGGGGCAGAAAGAAGCCTGCAGGACACAGGCTTGATCCTGGAAACCTGAGGCCATGGCAACAATAAAAAAAGAGAGAGAGGAAAGGAATGACAGGTACACCTACAGAAAAGCTGGGCTCAGGTGGGTGGTGCTTACTCTGGGCCCATATGGTGGCTTGGATAGGTCAAAGATGGGTTAAGGATCAGTGTTAAGGTGTGGGTGGTTGAACTGTGGTCTGGTATGAAGATATGAGGTACCTTGACTCTCAGTGTCCTCCTTAAGCTAAACAGCCTGGGATTTTTTGTTGTTTTTCATAAAGGTCTAACCTCTAACCCTACAGGCTCTGGCTCCTCCTTGAGGCCAGAGTGGACAGAAGCCAGGCTTCTCAGTCCCTCCTGTGCACATCTCCTCCACAGGTCATTGCTGTTCCTGGGGGCTCTCACAGTGTTGGGGACCGGCTTTGGGGCCTATAACATGTCCATGGCTGCCATGAGCCCCTGCCCCATCCTGCAGGGCCACTGGGGTGGAGAGGTTCTCATCGTAAGTATCCCCTCCCACTCTCACTTCTCAAGGTTGGGGAGGAATGAAGGGGAACCCCAAGGACAGCCCTTTCTGTTAGCCCAAGGCTTCTTAGTGTCCCTCATAAAAGTGAGGACTTGGGGAAGTGAGACTGCCATAAATGTCACTTCTCCCACATATACCTCGATATGATCCTTTGGGGAAGGGAGAAACACCTGAGGTTCCTTTTACCCTGGAGGGATAGCTCCCGTGGCCCCCTTAGCCCTTCAGGGTCACCTCCGTAAGACCTCTTTGTAGGCAGGGATCATTTTGTGTCCCTGGGACATGCCCCTGAGTCCTTTTCCCTCAGGGTCTGCCCTGGTGGCCTTGTCCTGGCAGGTGCTCTCCTGGGTGCTCTTTGCAGCCTGTCTCAGCTACGTCAAGGTGATGCTGGGTGTGATCTTGCGTGACCGGAGCCGCAGTGCCCTCTTGTGGTGTGGGGCAGCAGTGCAGCTGGGCTCGCTGATTGGCGCCCTGCTCATGTTCCCGCTGGTTAATGTGCTGAGACTCTTCTCGTCCGCTGACTACTGCAGCCTGGACTGCTCTGTCTAGGCTCGCTTGTCCACCTCAGGACACCAGGTGCTCCAGCAGAACCTAGAGGCACAGAGGGTAACAACCCTTCACTTCCTGCCACCCTCACACTCCCCCCACCTCCCTATGTGGTCACAGACGTGGGGCTGGGGAGCAGGAAGGCCTCCCCCAACAGTGTCCCAGTTGCAGACTTCAGTCTTTGACCACTGAGAGATGTGGTTTTTAGCATTCGGCTGGAGGCAGCCTAAGGATGTTAGGGGAAGGACCCCTGGAAGATTAAGCTAGCCCGGGGCCTACTGTGGGACCCTAGGGAAGTCTCTTGACTCTCTAGGTCTCATTAAAGAGGATTGTTGCTACAACAGCCTTCAGCTTCTAGGCTTAGGCATCTAGCAGGTTCTCCTGACTTCTCTCCCACGTGGACACCCTTCTTAATGCAACCTGGAAGTGACCAGAGGCCTTGGGAGGGCCCCTGCCTCCATCCCTTTCTGTGTCCCAAGAAATGTACTTCTCCCGGACATTGCCTGTAAAAACCTCAAGCGTCTTGGCCCAATACAGCTCTGTCCCCCAGGATAATGAAACCCTGAGAAAAGCTGAGGGGAGCCCTGCCTCTGAGAGTGGCCCCACCCAGAGACAGTGAAGACCCTCAGAGGGGTGTCTCAGGCAGGAGGGGTTTTGTCTATAATTATTCTGTTTTGTATTTTGTTTCTTTTTATAAGAATTAAAAGTTTCTATGCTTTTACACTAAGGGCTGCGCACCAGCAAGAGGTCCTGTGAAGGCTACATTGTATCAGTCTAATTAATTGTAACTGGTTTTCAGTCAAGGCTGAGAACCAAAGAAGCGAGAGCAGCCTGGTGTCTGCCCACTTTTCCCAACTGTTGTCTTATCGGCTTGTACCACCCTGCACTCCTCTTTACTCTTAAGGTAGGGCTGGCAAGATGGTTCAGATGTTTAAAGCTAAGTCCTATGACCCAAATATTTAAATGGTTCCTATCCAGGTGCTCTTAGTGTATACATATACTCAGGTGGAGGGCTGGGGTGTGGTGCAGGCCTGGAATTCCAGCACTCTGGAGGCTGAATGCAGGAGAGTCAAGAGTTCAAGAAATCCAGCCCGGCTTGGTGACACGTGCGCTTGGGAGACAGAGACCAGCAGATCTGTGACTTCTAGGCCTCCCTACTCTACAGAGTGAGAGTGTTAGGCAAGCCAGGAAGGGCTAAATGGTGAGCTCTGTCTCAGCAAAGCAAAGCACGTGCACACACAAACACTTTCTTCCTGTTCACCCTCCCAAAGTGGCAGGAAATTCAGGGACTTCTTGGACCTCAAGATACAGCCACAAACCATTGCCCATCTTACACCTTTTGGTTCAGTCAAAACAACATTTTTTCCTCCTGGGCTGGATAGTACTCTATACCGGGGGTGCCGAATTGTCCATCCACATTTGAAGACACTAGGAGCAAAATAAAGACTAAAAATCTGGTAAACCTCTGCACAGGCAGGAAAGAGCAGTGTTATTGAATGAGTGAGCTTTAAACCTGGTAGCTGTGGGCATCACAATCTTCTACAGAGATCTAAAAAAGAAAAGTCTCCAGAAATAGTAAACAGAAAATCCCTCTACCCAGCTAGGTGAATATGAGACTTGACAAAGATGTTCTCAACCATCTAGTGATCCTCAAGGAAGATGACTAGACAAGGCCTTTGGTCACACAGCACATTCTGGACTCTTCCTGGTAATAGAGTGGTCATCCACGTCAGCTGACTATCCTTATCCAAGCCTCATATCTTTATAAGATTTCCTCAGGTCAGTGTGGTGCCGTGAGCTAGATGTCTGACTCCCCCAGGGGCTGGGTAGCCAGCTGCAGTTTTCCTTGATGCTCCTGGTAAAGGTCCTAGGTCCTTAGCACAGCAGCCCTTGGTTGCAAGATAGGCGAGAGGCTTTTGCTCCAGTCTGCTTTCTGCTGTTATGAAAGACACCATGACCAAAACCAAGCTGAGCAGGAATGGGTTTATCTGGCTCACACTTCCAGCAACAATCTGTCACAGAGGGAAGTCAAGGCAGAGAGCTGGAGCTGAAGCCAAGGAGAAACCGTATCTCCTGGCTCCCTCTGGCTCATGTTCATCTAGCTTTCTTATGCAATCCAGAGCCACCTGCCAGGGGTGATATCACAAGTTCGCTGGGTCCTCCCACATCAATAATTAAGATGATTTCCCACAGACATGGCCACAAGCCAACCTGACCTAGGCAACCTCAGTTGAAACTCTTCCCAGGTGACTTGACTATTACGCTGACAACCAAAACTAACCAAGGCTCCTTCAGCTTTCAAGTAGACCCAGGGCTTAAAGGGACAGCTCAGGCGTTTTCTCCACACGCACCTCCCCTTTGTGTATGAGGGAGAACTAATTCCTTGGCGGTGCAGGAGGGTGGCAGCTAGGGCCTTGTAGTTAGGCAAGCTCCATTCTTGAGCTACCCTCTCCCCCAGCCAGAGTACACTCTTGTGTTTGTACTTTTCCTTACACGGCCAGTCAGGACGTGGCCGTGAGCATTCAGTGCGTGTGACGGGCTCACACACAGGGTGGCATCCTGGCTCACACTGTCGAGGGGGACAGCACAGGGTGCGTTGGCATTTGGGAATTTGTGGGGATTTGGTCTGGGTTGACTGTCACCCCATCTTAGGAGTCTCCAGCTTGTACACTGGCCCAAGTCAGCATGGCTCAGCTTCTCAGCATACTGGAGGGGAGAGCTTTACTCCCAGGATGCTTAGGGGTGAGACTGAGCAGCTGTGTGGACACAGTGTTCAGTGCCATCTCTACCAACAGCAAGTGCCCTGCTCACCACAGACTCCAGATGCCCCTGAGCAATGCCTCTGCCCACACCCCACCACACCCCAGGGCAAGTCTGGCTGGCCAGTGAACTTCAGGACCCTCTGACTCTGCCTCCTCAGCCCTGGGATTACAATCGCTCGCCACCACCATGCCCAACATTTTTGAAATGTGGGGTCTGCGGGTTGAACTCAGGTTCTCACTCTTGAAAGTCACTTCCCCAGCCCTGTGAGTCCAGTCTTGAGGCTAGCCCAAAATGTGGGATGCTTCTGTATCCCACAGAATGGCGAGCCAACAATAAGTAGCAGCATAGAGGGCCTGTGGTCCTAGCTGCAGGGGAGCCAGTGGCAGGAGAATCACTTGAGTCCAGGAGCTTACAGGTAACCTGGGCAATATGATGAGGCCCTGTCTTTTTTTCAGTTTAAGAGAGAGAGAGATATGGACTCTGGGGTTGGCATGAAGCTTGGTTAAAGATGCTGCCGCCAGGCAGGTGGGACAAAGTGGGTGATACCTGAGAAAGTACCCAGGGGTCACAGAAGTGCATCCTTGAGCATTCAGAGCAGAGCAGTGTGTTGCCCTAAGTGTATTTTGTGGGGTAACCTTGAAAGGACCACAAGAGATGTGAGTAGCTAAGACACCGTCAGGGTGATCTGGGGAGAAAGTGCCACCCTGGCAGAGGGCCTCGGCTGGGTGAGCTGGGCGAGAGCCAGCGCAGCACAGAAATGTGGACTCTGTCCTTCTGCTCTCGCTGGAATGCCTTTCAGGACCTGGTGACCCCTGGAACAAAGAGACTCCAGAACAGCCAGGCCAGCAGATGTGACAACTGAGGGGAGATGTGCACCAGAGCCGGGATGAGGGTCCCTCTGTTCCAGGAACTCCAGTGAGAGCCACTGCAATCCCTCGAGGGGTGGGGAGCTCTCCTGGAGGCAGTCTGTCCTGCCATTTTGTTGTTCCCCCAGGGAGCTGTTTAGAATGGCCCAGAAGAAACCAGAGCCAGACATCAGCCCATTCATTGGCTCCCTGGAAAGCCTGACCCAGCCAGGCCTACCTTTGGTTTAGGCAAGTCCTGCCGAGAAATCTTGGGTTCCCACCCAGTTCCTGCCCAGCTGGTCTTTCCTTCCTGGCTTGGGGCAACCCAGAGCCTTGTAGGACAAAACACTGCTGCTGGGTGTGGCCTTACTTACTTACACCGTGTGTGTGTGTGTGTGTGTGTGTGTGTGTGTGTGTGTGTGTGTGTCCTAGCCTGTGGACGGAAACAGGCCCGGGCTGAACTGTTCCCCTGTACTCCACCCTGCCTCGCCCTGAGAAGGGTCATGGAGGACATGCACACCTTAATTCCTGGAACTAGGGAACATGCAGGCACAGAGGACCTTGCAAGTAGATGAAGAGGACAGGCTCTAAAATTGAGGATTATGTGGAATTGCCTGAGTGGACTCCAGAAGTCCACATCAGCCTCAGCACTCAGAATCACAACAGATGCTGAAGGAAAGGCATAGAGGACCAGGGCCAACAAGAAACACCTGGAGTCCTCAGTGGCTGGCTGGGGTCCAAAGTGGAGCCCATGCAGAGGCAGGTTGGGAAGCAGAATCTCATCTTGCAAATGTGTGCCATGGTTTCTGACCACAGCCATAGAAATTTCGAAAGAGGTCAGCTTTCCTAGGTCAGCCAGCAAATACCCTCATTTTATCTCTGGGAGACCTTGGCTAATTCTAACCCTCAGAACTACAGTCGATTTGAATTCCGGTTGGTTGATGTATGTATCGACAGGGTCTCCCCAGGCAACCCAGGCTGGCCTCAAACTCTTCATCCTCCTGGGTAAAGGGTCTGTGCTTCCAGGCCTACACTTTCACATCTGCTGCTATGTGGTAGTTTCTTACAGCGTCAGTAGAAAACTGGTGAAATGTATTCCTTCTTGAGGTCCCACAGCCCCTTGCTCTTGGAAAGTGTGTCCTTGTGCATCCTGATGGCCACAGAGCATCCCAGGATGTAGATGTGGACACTCAGGTCCAGACGAGAAGAGGACCAGCAGCCAGAGTCCCCTGGAAAAGGTGGTGCAAATTCAGGATACAAAATGATTGATAGGCAGCTGAAGAGATGGCTCAGAAGTTAACAGTACTTAATGCTCTTGCCAAGGACCAGGGTTCAGTTCTCATCACACAGACCCCTTAAGCTCCAGTTCCAAGGGATCTGACGCCCTCTTCTGGCCTCGGACACCTGCATTCACATGGCATGTATTGACACAGACACATGATGCTGGCTCTGAGTTCTTGCTAGTGAGCTGGGGCACAAATGTCATGATTCGCACTTCAGACTCATCCAGAAGAAAGAAGACTGAAGAAGATGGAGACAGAAAATCAGGCCAGGGTGGCTCTGTTGTCACATGCATAGCATGGGAAACAGGCTGGTCATCCCTGGAGCTACCCAACATCCTACCCACCACCTCTACAGAGGCCTGCCCTGGCAACCATCAGCATCATGGCTTTAAAGGGCCTTCCCTGCTGCCTTGCCTGCTTAGCCCCATGCCAGGACAAGAGGCCATTCTTGCTGCCTTCTGTAGCAGGCCCTTCCCAGGAATGGCCTCTACTCTCTGCTTCCTTCACTCCACCCTCACAGAAGCCTCTGAAAGGCTTCCTCTATTCAGTCCAGGTTTGTGCATAAAGAAACCAAAGGTAGGGAGGGGGCTACAGCTGAGATACAAAGTGATAATTAATATAAAAAATAAAAATTAAAAAAGAAAGAAACCAAAACTCAGCGGGCATGGTAGTCCACACTGTTAATCCCAGGAGTTGGGGAGTAGAGGCATATAGATTTCTGTGAGTTCAAGGCCAACCTGCTCTACATAGTGAGTTCCAGGAGAGCCAGAGCTACATAGTGAGACCTCTTGTCACAAACAAACAAAAACCCTTCCAAGTACATGAAAAAAAGGAAG